TAGTCATCGAATAAAACTGAACCAGAGTATTATTCAAACTCCAATGATTTCAGGATCCCTTAGTAAAACATATGCAAACAAGGTGCAATGAATGATACACATTGTGTGATCTCTAAGTTGAACCAGACATGCCAAAAAAAAAAACAAGAAGAAGAAGCAAATATGTCATATCAAAATTTCAACTTGCGTCAGGATTATTGAATCCAAATAAAATGTATTATTATAAAAAATAGAAAGACCTGTTTCCTAAATGGAAAATCTTCATCAGGGAGCTTCTGAAAATTAGCTAAGTTTTTAACTAGTCCCGTCATAAAATAAGTGGAATAATTTCCTGTATTGACAAAATTAGTCACAACAAAAGTCAGCAACAACGCGCGCATATCGTACTATAATTTGAAGCTTGAGAGATGAGATTATGAAGAAACAGAAACTATTCAATGAAAATATCCCAAACAGGGAGTTAGATAATTAATCGCTTCAATGTAGGTTAGTAGCCAACTTGTATGCACCACGATTTGAGAAATAACACTTCTACCTCTGCAGTTTAATGACAAGCAAAATTTATATGGATGAATGTTGTGAAGTAGAAAAAGACTAGATAGCAATCTTAGTACCCAATTTGCGAAACATAGCTGAAACAACTTCAAATACTCTGTCCCAGACAGCATCAAAATGATAATCAAGCAGGCTTTCAATAGTTGTACAAACTTTTTCAATGATGGTAGGACCAGACCTCCTGATGGAGTGTCTGCATTCATAGATATCTGATCAACTCCCTGTTTAATCAAACTTTCATCCATACAAGAATGTATCAAACTCTTGAATGAACCAGTAGCTGCATGTATGGCCTCTTCATGTTCTGATGACAAAATATCTGTACATTTTAAAGAAAGAAGCATGCTTTAATAATTAATTTGTAAAAGAAGTTGAACATATAAAGACACACAATAGAGTTCATGGAATTGAATTCTGCTAACAAAAACATCATCTGAACTTCACCAGTCAAAGTGCATCCAGAATCTTACCTTTGAGAGCATTAAAGACAAGAGGCAGCTGGATAACACACATTTGCCTATTAAGAGTAAAAACTTTATTCATTCCAACGTCTAGCAAACGAGATGTAAACGCCATTACATCTCCAGATATCTCATTTGTTGATATAGAAAGAGCCAATGAATTTAGTAATTCAAGTAATGCTTCAGGGGAAGCCTCTGATGCTGGGTAGAGACAGAGAAAACTCAAACCATCAGTTATGCGCCTAGTGACAAGGGGTTGATGTAGATCCAAGAGAGTTTTGAAGTACTTAAGAATGCAAGTCTTGCACTTCAGTGACATAAGAGGAAGGCATTCTTTCAAAGCATCAAGAATATATAGAACCTGCTGAGCTCCCTTTGGTCCTTCACCAGAACGTGCATTTGCTCCGCCAGCAACCAGCAGAAACCTCTCAAATATGCTTGTAATTCCTTCACTAGCAGATACCAGCAATGGTGATTTTTGGAAGCTCAGTAACACATCACGAAGACACAAATGTGATTGCCTTCTAACCTGTATATAGATCCAATTAGCACACAATATCAAAGGGCATGCGTTGTTTTCCCAGTCAGTGAACTTTGTCCGTAGTCAACAGTTAAGGCAACTGAGACAGAGACTAATTATAATTGAGGAAGTCATGGAAGCTTCCTAACATAATTAGATCCTCTCTAGCATCTGTCTTGCTCTGTTATTTAGCATTGTTATACATATATAGTGTTAAAAGTATGAAACCACCTAGAGTCATGGGATCAAATTAAAGAGGGCCGTAAGTCCCAAGTAAATATCAACTGTCTTCGGCTATAAACGTGAAAATTATGCGCCGTTGACGATGAAAAAACGTGACATTAACATTCAAAATTTATCAAATTCGGGTTTCTGATTATTGCTTTTTAACCAAATAAATTTGAAGATTAAACGCTAAGAAGGCTCGAACCCAGTGAATGTGAGTTTGTACTAGCATATCATTAAGTCAGTTTCAAGGTAGAGTGGCTAGGAATCCCACTGCTACAGAGAATTTAGGTAATGATGAACAAGTTACAGAATTTGTTTTGCATAGTACCTTTGGTCGCGAATCTATGACGAACCCCAACAAGACACTGAACAGCTGAGACGCATCAAACCACATGAGACTATCCCTGTGTCTCAACAGATGCGAGACGCATTTTAATCCGGCAATAACAGAAGTCTCCGCCATCGAAGGAGACCGGAGAACTTGCACCAGAAGATGCGACAAAAAGTCCCTTTTCTTCTTCAATATTGCAATGGGTACACAGGTAATGACGTTGGAAAGAACTGTGAGCAGCGCGTCCACGAGGTTGTTAGGGGCCTCGGGTTCAGAACAGAGGCGGTCGAGGGAAGAACATGCGGCACCAAAGTAGGCAACATATGTGGAAGGGAGATTCTGTTCTTTGAACTCCTGGGACATGGCGCAGATAACAGCGCAGAGATGCTGATGACTTCCGTCGGTGGAATTGCCGAAGCGAGAAAGAATGGAACTGCAGAAATCCCCATTTTCTTCGTCTAGGGACAAGCAAGGGTCTTCTAGTTCGATGCCTTCCATGGCTCCAGAGCTAGCACTGAGTGCGAAAAACCTAATTACTTGCGCGCGAGACGGGCCAAGGTTTTTCGAAGACTCAAGAAAGGATGTAAGATTATGAACCCTTGGTAAAGATCTTGATAATGGTGGAATTATTTCATTCGACCTCATAAGCTGTACAAAGATGAGCATATATACACGAAGAATTGTTAGCAAAACTATCGCACGTAATCCGCCTATAATATCTCCGTAATCGTACAATATTTACATTCAAAATGATTGATTTGGGAATCCCTATAGTATTTACTTGCATGCAAGTCCAAGTCCAACACGTAGTTACCCATTACGTACGGGCCCATCATGCATGCATTCTTTCACTCTCCCTTATGATGGCGTGTGAATTTCTGCAACACCCAACTTGCAAGCTAGATCATGATGGCGTTCTCTATTTAGAGCCTTCGTGAATATGGCCGCAGCTTGGTGCTTTGTCCAGATTTTTCGTGGGGCTATGTCCTTAAATTGTATGCGTTCACGAATGGCGACGTGCTTAGTCCGTTCATGAAAGAAAGGATTAACTGCAATGTGAAGTGCAGCCTGATTGTCGCACTAAAGTGCAGTGGCTCCGGAAGAGCGAATTTCCAGTTCACGGTGCTTGGCCATTGCACGATTTTTTGCCTCCCACGCGGACGACTTAGACGCTGGTAATTTTATATATTTTTATTTTTTAATTTAAACTTTTATATATTTATTTAAAACTAATTGAATTTACTCAGATATTATTTGATTTTATTAGCCCAATCTTCAATCTTAAAATTTTAACTAATTAAATCTTAAATTTTAAAATATAAATAATATATTTAATATTTTTACACATTTATTATTTTATTTTATTTTATTTATACATATTTTTTAAATTTAATTTAAAAGATATTAATAAAAATTATTTTAAATAAAAATAATATGAGCATATTTAAAGATTACTTATTAATTTTGTTATACCTATTTTGAGCCTTTTAATATAATTTTTAATTAAAGTTATTTAAGATAGTTTTATCATGTTATTAAATTATTAGGTTTTACCTTTTTGAGAGACGTACAACTTTTTAGGACGGAGCTGAGGACGCACGAATATACGAGAGGGGGAAAGAAAGAGTCGGCGGCGCATAAAATTGGCAAGGATCAGAAGCAATAGCTTCGTCTTTTTTATTTTCTTCATTCCGTGAGCAATGTTCAGTTGGGTTCGGGTAAATTAAGTTTGATTAAAATTATTAACTCTATATATAAATAGAGTTAAAAATTTTAAAAGTCAGATTTGTTTAAGTCGGACTCAATTTAAGTCGAGCTTATTTAAATTAAATTTAATATATTATATCCTTTTAAAAAAAATCATATAGCCAAGTTTAACCTTAATTTTTTTGGGCGGGTTTAGGCTGGCCTGTCCAACTTGGTTCAAATTAACAGCTCTATTTCTAATGTTTTCATACAGTGTTGTTCAATTTTTAGTTCTATGAAAAGATAATTTTTTGATGTGATCAATCACAAATCATAATCTTAATTTTAATCAAAATCTTTTATATTTAAAGAAGATTTTATTTTAATTTTATTCCAATTTACTCTCCTTCTTTCTACCTTTGAATTTTATGCTTTACTTGCTATTACTAATTAAAGTAGTTTTATTGCATAATTTTTGGGTTATATGTTTTATATAAGGTTTAGCTTATTATAATTGATTGATATAGTATCACAAGAGAAATTTGGCCTTGCTTAAATGATTACTTATGCTTTATTTCTGGTATGACTAACTTAAAATAGTTGTTAGATTGTGGGTTAAGAGATATCTTAATTAATTCATAACTTATTTTCTTGTTTAATTCTTGAATGATAATTTAAAAAATATATAATAAAACTAAAATAATAAAGTTAAATAAATTTAATTTATTTTGTAGACAATGAAGATTAAATATAGATAATTAGATTGTGATTGATTGCGCTACTTGTACTTCGTAATTTTCTCAATTGAACTTTACTTATTTAATTTTAATTTGGTTTGTTTTTAAAATTAATTTCATCATAAAAAAATCCCCCCACTATTTATTTTTTTATAATCATAATTCAAGTGGTTAATCCATTGACTTTTAAAGAAATGACTTGTAATGACCCAAAATTTTAAATTAAATATTTTTTTAATTAATACTTTTATTTAAATTAGTTTTATAAAAAGTGGAGAGTGATAGTTTAGTGAAATTTACTTTAGTAACTTTTTAAAGGTTCAGAGTTTGATTTTTATTGAATAAAAGTTTGATTTTATTTTATTTTAAGTTATAGAAAATTTTGGGCTCATTTTTGTAATTTTTTGTGTGTCATATCTTATAGTTTTCCCAATTTTTCTTTTTGGTCAGAATTTTTATTCTTCCTACGCGAGGCAGATCACTTCATTTTTCCTCAATTTCTCTCCTTTCTTCACCGACATGAGCTCCCCTGATTCTTTACTGTCGGTTTGCGTTTCTGCTCTTCAGCATCGACTTGCTTCCTAGATCTTTGCCATCAGCTTCCTCTGTTCGCGTCGCTATTTCGCAGCTGGAAGTGGGAGATCGCTGGATTTGCTCCCTTGTTTGGCCGTTCTTTGCCTCTTCTCTGCTTCGTGGCTGACAGTGATACATGGTGCGTCATCTTGAACTTCTCTTCCTCCTCAGTTCTGGGCGTGAGGTCACCTCAATTTCTCTTCCTCCTAGGACCGATAGGTGCTGTCTCTTTGATTTTTGCTACTGTGGGTTAGTATAAGAGGTTCCTTGCTTCTTCCTCGGTTCAGCGTAGCGAATTCATCCTTCCTCCTGTCCTATTCTACCGTAATCGATTGAAGGTGTGGAGCTTCAAATCCCCTACCTCTTTGCTGTTTTGTTTGTGTGATATTTGGGTTAGCTGTGATGTTTTTTTCATTTTTGCTGCTGCTGTGCGTGATAGAAGGGAATACATGAGTTTAACTAAGCTGAACTTGAATTTAAGAGCATGATTGTTGGTAGATAATTTCTCTTATGTAGATTACTGTAGAAGAAGAATTAGATTTAAATTTCTTTGATCTCAATTGGCTTGTGTTGAAGGGGGAAAAATTGGGAAGCTTGGAAATTCAGGTATTAATAAAATTTTTAAGGAAATGGGGAAGTTTGTATTATAGTTGGGCATGAGGCATGTAAGGTGTTTGATGAAATGTTTGGTGGAAGAAACTTTGCTTGATTTTATAGTTTATGAAATTTCATTAATTTTTATAAGAAATATGTTTGGTTTAAGTACTATTTAATTGTGAATTAACATGAGTATTATCTAGAAATTTAATAATTATGAAGCTAGTGTGTAATTAGTGGATTTCTTGGGAGTTGTATGTCTTGGGAGTTGTATGGTTGTTGATTAATGGTTGAGCAAGAGATTTAAATGTTAAAAGCTCAATTGAATGGTTGAAATGATGCACACTAAGCATTTGTCAAAAGGCTAAAGAGAAAATTGTATTTTAATTGAGTATTTAGTTATTGTTACTTTATGTGTAAATCTTGGTCCTAAGGCTTTAAATTTATTGTAGTTAAATGTTTGTTATGTTAGTTTGAAATAAAGTTTTATTGAACTTATTGAAAGTCTATTAAGACCCTATTATATTTCATATGGTGTCTAGAGAAAGAGGATCTTGATAAAAGGGATAAGGAGTAAGTTATAAATTTTGGAGAGTATTTTAGGTAAGTGGATAGCGTCTCAACTGATTTTCTAATAAAATTTTCTTTACTAAAATATTGCATTTTTATGCAAATTATTTTATAACAACAATGTAAGTACTGGATAATTTGTTAATTAAACTTCTTTATTTTATGAAATTACCTTTAGCACTTTTGAAATGTCAATTATTCAATAAATACAAGTTTGGATTTTGATTATGGGATTTCATTCTGAAAATCATTGAATTACTATGGAAAAATGATTCATGCGAGTTTGACATTGAAAATGAAAATTATATTTTTACTAATGATGATCTTCTCGCATGTTTGAAAGTGAATTTAAAAAGGGACTTTATACAGAACACTTGTTGTTAATAGCAGTTCCGTTTGCTCTTGGCGCGCCATGGTACACCTAGATAGCAGGGTGCTTATAGGAGGTATGTCATGCCCCAAAATATAGGAGTGACCGGCACGGGATATGTACCTAAACACACATCCCTTAAGCCCAATTTAAAAAAAATGCCTTAATATTTTTGTGAAAATTTCAATAGAATCCTTCTTGTACATAAGATCTCTTAAAATTTTTTAGTACAAATTTACAAACAAATATCAATCAAGCAGGAGCTCAACTCCTTCTAGTCAGCATATAGAATATATATTGAAATATGAATCCTACCTACAGCATATGTGGAGCACCTAAAATTTAATTTACAAAATACAGTTTTATAATTCAAATTTTAGATAAAAAGGTAGTTTGGTCTATAGCTCCTCCACTTCCCACTCAGTGATAAACTCCTCAATAATTAGCAAAACATTCATCCTCAACTAATGAATTTGAAACCAAAATAATTTTCAGTGAATAGCATCCCAAAAATAAAATTTAAAAGAGTAAAAAAAAAAACTCAAACAGTTAAGTAAATTAGTTGAAGAGATGATAATTCAATGTAATAAACTTAATAAATATGTAAATCTTAATCATAATCATAAAATGAGAGTGAGCTGAAATTGCATTATTCTATCATGCTTGAAGAAAATAAATTATCCACATGTAAATCAAAGTAGTACATTTACTAACTGAAAGCATTGAAGTATCAAATACCAAAATTAATTAAAAATTTAGAATTTTGAGGACTTAACAGAACAGGTAACAAACGTGGACACATAGTCCACGAGGGTAAAATAACCAAACGCGGCTTATGCCACGAAAACAAACGTGAACATATAGTGCACGAGAGTAAATAACCAGACGTGGTCAAGACCACGAAACAGATGTGGACATACAGTCCATGAGGGTAACTAACCAGACGCAACTGAAGCCACGAAACAGATGCGGGTGCATGACCCACGAATAACAGACGTGAGAATAGAGCTCACAAAGATAAAACTAGCTAGTCATCAACCATAGCACGTTATGGGCTAACGGAACTGTTATTAGCAACAGTGTTCTACTTAAAGTCCTCTTAAAATCATGTTTCCAACATACGAGAAAAACAATCATCACTGAAATAAAATTTTCACTTTTAATGCCAAACTTGCATGGATTATTGTAAGTATCAATTTAATACTTATCAAAATAAAATCTCATAAATAATGCTCATTATTGTATTTATTGAACAATCAAAATTTTTTAAATCTAATCAAAATAATTTCATAAATTTTGAATATAAGAATCTAAAAAAAATTTACATGTACCTGCCACATCACATTTATTTCGTTGCAATAATCTTATATTTCACATGATAAAATAATTTAATCAATAATATAAGCAAATTATCATAACAATTAAAAATGATCTTCATAAAGACAAAGATGAATTCTTACAGTAAAAATTATTATTAGTAAAATAAATGGGATGTCATTCACTTACCTAAAATTTTCTCAAAGTATAAGATCCTCTTTTTACCACATTAATTGATTTCCTCTCCTTCCAAATTTCCTATAGAATAGTAAGGTTTTAATAGCCTTTCAATCAATTCAATAGTTCCTTTCCAACATTATCACTACCAATATTAAACTATACCAGTATTGAAACTTTTACAACCAATGCTTTTCATATAAGAGTTCCTTAATAGCCATAGTTGATTTCTCCATTTTAATACCATCTACTCTTACTGCTTTTGTTAGAATACCAAGTAAACATCATTTTCCCAACCTATTCATAAGGCTTTTGTGTTTTTTTTTTGGGTCCTCTCTTCTTCTTCTTCTTCTTTTTCCAACATTCAAACCTCTAACTAAATAATTTATCAACAACCATCAACTCTCAAGAATTCAAATAATTGTATATTAATTTCATGATCAAATTACCTTTACCACCTTCAAGATAAATTTATATATCAACAACATCCATATAAAATATACTTCTTACAATAATAAGTGAAATTTTAGAGAAATACCACAATTAAGCAAAACTCTTCTACCCTGTGGGCACTAATAGTTAAACTAATACCAACATTTTCCTCATCAATTTCACTTCTCAAAAATTTATCAGCATGTATAAACAAATCAAGTTCATCTAAAACTCAAATCCACACCATCATCTTTTTGTTCTTAAAAAAAATAGCTTCAACTTAAGTGAAATTCCCTTTTATATTAATAAATGACAGCAGAAAAGCAAGAAAAATTCCAGAGTCACATACAACATGCACAACCAGATGGAGGAGGGAAGAGAGGTAAGATTCACTAACCAGCAAAGCCAATAACGTTGAACCAGGAAGAGGAATAGTCTAATGTTGAGAAGGGAAGCAAAACTCTGTGCTCACACTCACAGAAACCAGCACCGCACACAAAGAAGACGGAGAAGATCGAGGATTTCCCCTGGCTGTTACCGCCAACTCATCTGGAGTATTAAGTTGAGAACTGTGATAGTAAAACAGAGAAGGAGGAAGAGAACCGAACTTAAAGCCTACACATACTCAGGATGATATTGCAACCATGAGAGCAGGGAGATGAGCGATAGGACACAAAGAAGAAGAGCTCGTGATTCCTCCTTTTGCAATGACGTGCAGCAGCAGGCGGAGCTTGTGTACACACCATGGACGGCGATGGAATAAGTGCGAGAAAAAAGAAGATGAAGAAGAGGGAGGATGGCGGTTCTGTTCAAAGCTCCTAGATCTCTTGCTGGAAAGAAGACATTGGGAAAGAAATAAAAACAGAGGATGCGTGTGTTTTACTCTCTGCCATCGATTTTTTTTCCTGAGGGCATAATAGTAATTTCATAATGAAGCAAAAATAAAAATCTTTCTTAGTGGTCTTGGAGGATTCGAACTTGGGACTTGAGTATATTTATCCATACTCATTTCCATTGAGCCACCCATTCACTCTTAATAAAGCTATCCTAAAATAAAAATATAACCAAATATAATCAAAATACTTTATCATTAAATTTAATCTTATTTAAATTTTTGGGTTATTACAAGGTGCTAATCCCGTGCGATGGCCAACGCACGTGGAACGAAGGGATGGTTATTCGTTAGCATCGTACTCACGTTTGTTTCAGGGCTTCAAGTCGCGTTTAGTTAGCATTATCCTCGTGGATTGTGTGTCCACGTTTATCTCGTGGCTTTGGCTGCATTTGGTTACTTACTTTCGTGGATTGTGTGTCCACATTTGTTTTCATGGCATATGCTGCGTTTGGTTATTTACCCTCGTAGACTGTGTGTCCACGTTTGTTAATTGTTCTGATAAGTCTCTATAGTTATGAATCTAATTATTTGATGATTTTATATTTCATTGATTTTTATTCAGTAATTTGTTTATAAATATTTATTTCATTTATGTGCTTTCTTAAAATCAAGTGATATTATCATTTGCTACGATAGTTCAATGATTTGAAATTTCTTGAATATTTATAGAGACATTTTATTATGAAATTTATTGAATTTTTACAGAAATTTTTGTTTCTTTAACTTACATGACTATTTCGAACTTTTCATTTTATTTATGTTCTATTCTTTATTGTTGGGACATTATTCACCAAAAAATTTCTTTGGTCTCAGATAATGTAGTTGACCCTGCACCTCCTGCTAATCATTGAGGGGCTCTATTGCATTTTGGACAGTGGAAGCATGCTTCAATCGTTTATTTTAATGTAAATAGTCATTATATTATACAATGTTAGTTAGTGCTCCACGTATACCGTAGTTAGGTTCTAGTCCTATTTTTGTTATTATGTAATCTACTGGTGTGGAATTAAGCTCCTCTTCTAAATTTGCTAACAGATTTATTGGCTATAGAAATTTTGGGATGTTCTAATTACAGGGGAGACTTTGCCAAAATTTTTATTGAATATTTAAGACTTTATGAACTTTATAATTATATATATATATATATTATATGATTTATTGATCAGTATAAATATCTATCACTATTATAGTTTAATATTTGGATAATTGAGGCTTATGGAATATGAGTTTATCTCATATTTTGTGTTGGTCATACCATTAGTATTGGGGTGTGACATGACTTAGGTTGTGCTTTACTATAAAATTTAATTTTTATTAATTTTGGTGCTATTCGACAGTAGTGTCAAACACTTTGTCTCTTAGAGTGTCATGAGATTAGACACCTTGGTACTAAGAGTGTGATCAACACAAGATATGAGATAAACTCACATTTCATAAGCTTTAATTAACAAAATATTAAGTGAAAATAATGATAAATAATTTATATTTAATTCTAAGACTCGTAAAGTCTTAAATATTCTGTAAAAATTTTGATAAAGTCTCCCCTATAATTTGGACCTCTTAAAATTTTTACAATAATAAAACCTGTCAACCAATCTACTAAGGAGCTTAGCCCCATGTCAGCAGATTTCATAATAATAAAATAGGACTAGGACCTAACCATGGTATACATGGAGCACTAAATTTATAATTTTATAATATAATACATAATTACAACAAAATGAGCAGTCAAGGAGTGCTTCCAATATTCAAAAAGCACTACTACGCCTCAATGATTAGAAGAAGATGTAGGGTTAGCTACAATATTTAAAATTAATTTTTTTCAGTGAATAACATCTCAATCAAAGTTATAGATAAAAATATGTAAAAGTGGTGACTAATAAATTTAATTTAAACAAATTAACAGAATAATAAAACACATACTTTAACTAACAAATAAATGACAAAGTTGCTCAATGATATAATTGTGGAATTAACCAATAATATTGAAACCTTGTATATTTATCAAAATTGTACTGCATGCTTATTATTTATAAAAATAAATTCAAATAATGATGTAATCAAGAAATTTACTTTTACAAGATTAATATAAAAATGATAAAATTTTAAATCAAATTTAGAGGGCTTTATCAGAATAAATAACAAGTAAAATTCAAGGCTATAAGAACAAGCACAGGCATAAAGCTATGAAATAAGCATAGGCATGAGGCCTATGAAAATAAGCGTGAGTATGATGTTCATAAATGACTATCCCTTCATTCCATGTGCGTTGACTTTCGCATGGGGCTAGCACCTCCTATAAGTACCCTTTCTAGCTAGGTGTCTCATGGCACGCCAAGGACTTACGGAACTATCATTGACATTTAGTGTTCTAAACTCAGTCTCCCTTAATCAAAATTAAGCATGCATGGAGTTGAAAAAAAATTACAAAAAATTCCTTTTTTCAAAGTATATGTTTCAACTATCATCTTCCATTTCCCATGCTCATTTTCATCTCCTCCATGCACAAATTGTTGTAATATAAGTTTGCATATCAAACATAAAATCATCGGTAAAATTGGGATATCGTAAATAATATGACAATTATTATAAACAATAGAATTGAAAAGAATTTTCTTATACAATTTATAAAGGGATAATATTAAAAATTTAAATAAAGAAATTTTATAAACATTTTACAAGAAATTATCTAAGACACTATCCACTTACCTAAGAGTTTCTTAAGAATTCTCTAAAGCTCGTTCATTTCAACTTCTCACTTTTATTCCAATGATGTCATTAATTTCCTAACAAGTAAATCACAATCCTAAAATCACTTACTAATTCTTTCCTTAATGTAAGTGAATATTTAACATACATCCTAATCTTCAACAACTAACAGAATTCTCTTTACCCCAATAAGTTCTCTCTACACTCCTTAATTTCACTTGCCAAATAATTTTCTCAAACCATTAGTGGCATATAACTTGATCCCAAATAACATCACAATTAAACATACATAGCCAACAATTTCCTTATCAAATTAGTAACTTAACCATAACCCAATAAGAGTAGGAAAAAACCTTTCCATGCATTTATGTCTTCTTAATGCTCAATGAAGCACCAGAAACCATTATTCAATTTAATATCATCTACTTTAGGTACTCCAAGCTTCTAGTCACTATATTAAATCTATTACTAGTAGATAGCATCCATAATTCTTCTAGACCCTTGTATAAAGATTAAACAACCTTATATCCACCAAATCTTTCTTTCAAGTATTTTCACAAATATCTTGAGTGCATCAAAATTTAGTTTACAATAAACATCCAACAATTTAATCAACCTCTAATATTAACTCTATCATCAACATTTAGCTTAACATCAAACTAAAATAACATATAGCATCAACCAAAATACACCTCTTGTTAAGACAAACTTGGCAACAGGAGCAAAAGTTTCATAAAAGTCAACACCCTCTTACTGAGTGAATCCCTTAGCTACAAGGCCAACCTTGTATCGCCTTACCTCTCCCATGGGTTTATACTTGAATTTGTACACCCAGTTAGAGTCAAAAGCATATTTCCTAAGTAGAAGATTAGCAATCGACCATGTACCATTTTGTCCAAGGGCCTTAATCTCATGAGCCATGGCCGCTTGCCAGTGTGCATGTCAAACTGCTTCTGTAAAATACTTGGGCTCATCGTGCTTATTAATGGCTACAAGAAATGCTTTGTATGAAGGAGAGAACCACATGTTAGAAACAAATTTGGTAAGAAGGTGTGCAGTGGAGTTACTTGATGAATAAACTGAGGTCCCTGAAGGAGGTGGAGTAGACTAAGATGGATGGGCTAAAGAAGTAGGAAGGTCAAGTACATAGTTAGTGAGGCGACTAGGCTCTCGCTTAGCACGTTGACTTTGATGAATGACACCATGCTGCATAGCTTCTATTGGAGTGGCGAGTGCCACATTGGAAGTGTTCAGTTAGTTCAATATTTGGTTGACTAGCAGCCTTAAAAGTGAGAACATGCCCATTAAACATGGCTTTGGTGTCCTAATCAATCTCCTCATTGTCTATAATAGCACCATTGATGCTTACATCTGGGTTAATTAGTGGAACTAAGGCTACAGACTATAGATTCTAAAAGGGAAACTAGGCTTCAAAGAAAACTACATGGCATGACATATAAATGTCCATACTGTGAATGTCATATTGACGATATCCCTTCTAACCCAAGAGATAGCCAATAAAAACACATGCTTGTTTGTGCTCATCAAACTTATATATAACCCTTTCATTGTGCCCATAAAACTAAGTAAATGTACATAAATTGGTGGCTTGTGAAGCAATACCTCATATGGCATCCTATGGTGCAAAGCTTTGAATGGGAGGCAATTGATAGGTGCATTGTCGCTAGCATGCATTCCCCTAAAATTATATTGGCAAACCTGCTTGAAAATGTAGAGCATAAGCCACTTTCATGAACAAGCCACCTCCATGATGTAATAGTATTTGTATTCAACTACCCCATTCTGTTGAGGGCTATATGGACACATGGTTTGTAGCGCAATGCCCTTCTCAATATACAGATTGAGCGTGTAGTTGGATTGAAATTTTGAACCATTGCTTGTATGTATCATTTTCGCTCATACCTCGTATTAGGTCTCCACCATAATGAGGAACATTGGTAGGTATGTCTTCACATCTGACTTGTCATGCCCCAAAAATAAGGATGATTGACTTAAGATATAAATTGTACCACACATCCCTTAAGCCTCAAATCAAAAATTTTTCATTTTTAAAAAAACATAATTAGATTTGTATTGAAATTATGACATCTTTAATAATATTTGTTTCAATGAAAGTTTTAATATTTTTATAGAAATTTTGACAGAACCTCCCTTATAAATAGGATCTTCCAAAATCTCTGTAACAGAAAATATTATAATATGCATTTAATAGATTGGAACTATGTTCCCTAACCACAGAAAGTCAACATAATAAAACAAAAATCAGGATCTTAGCCATAGTTAATGTGGAGCACTTAAATGTAAATCTCAAAATAAAACATATAATTGAATA